TGATAAGATACCGCAAAATGACTTACAGTTTTCAAATATATTTTATATTAATTGACTTCGATGAATTTTAATTATGGACTTGTTGCTTCTTTTGTATTTTTGATAAGGTAATAGAGTTTTTGTTTTTATTAATTAATCTTTATTGCTGTTAATTTCATTAATTTATATAATTTCTATTAGGATCAATTTATACTTATTTCAACATATGATTCATTCTATACCGATTTATATGAAGATTAATATTTAAAGTAATTGTTTTTTAGTATTAATTTTTTGGTTATAATTTTATTAATTCGTAAATAATTTTTATTAGGATCAATTTTTAATGGAAGAAGAATGCGTTCATTTTTTATGTTAACTTTATTAATTATAACATTGATAATGGCCCGATCGGTGTCGAAACGTCTGTCTTTGTAATTATTAAAGCGTTTTATTAAATTTTATATATTTAATATTTTTCGATAGATTTATTTGGCTCTTTGCCCTTCTTAGTTTTGTATTATAGTATTATTATTATTATTTTATATATTATTTTTTGTTTGTAATGTCATTTCATATCGCAAAATTAATAAAATGAAATAGAAACAATTTATTCATGGGGTAATAAAATTATATGAATGGTATAATTTGATTGGTCGCAATAGCAATCTAACGAAACGGCAGTAATCCCATTTGTAAAAAAAATCCATTGCTCCATGTGAAGTAATGAATCGATCATAACTCTTATCCAAGAGAGTAAACACAAAAAATGTTATTCTAACTTTTTGGAAAAAGATAACACATAACAACATATAAATTTGGAAATACAATTCATTTCATGTTTAATTCTCTGCAATAATAATGCGATTGTAATAATAATATTTGCGAAACATATTTACTAAACAAACAATTTTTACAAAACTTTTTTTATTTCCAAAAGTACATCTTTCGTGGAACATGCCGTCATTACGACGATTCCAAGAGATACAGTCCTTCACGGTTGACCTAAATATTATTTATCACTTCGTTACTGTATATGAATACGGGTCAATCGAGAATTTGTGTTATTGCTATAGAACTAAAAAATACCGTACCGCAAGAGATTAGAAAAACAGAGGCAGACATCAGATGATTGCCAGACCACGAGGTACTTACATATTATGGGAGATGCTGTCACTACGATTGGGTACCTCAGTCAGAATCAGAATGACGATGACAGGTATAAAACAGGACCTCATAACTTTCCCTGATCACCTACTGGCCGCTTTGGTCCGCTCTAGGAGGAATTGTTCGTGTGCGAAGACACGGTAAATAAAATTAAAGCTCACGTTTCACATCAAGAATGACTACGATCGTTCTGTTCGATGTCGGTCGTCGCCGTCGTCGTATGCGCACTTACTAACTTGGTGGCGACTCACACGGGGCCTACGGCAGCTCACTCGGTGCCTATAAACGCTTTTCAGGTTTATCGATTTTCTGACCAGGCTTGCGCACGGAAAACACGAGCAAACGACGGACTGCGACAACTGCCGAGAATCGAGTCAATCAGAATTGATTGAATTGTTTATATTTTGATGTGTGTTTGATTATCAGGAAAGTACGATAAGAGTGCTAATTAAGAAATAAAACTTACTATTGCTAAATTTGTTTTGAACGATATGTTCGTTAATTAAAATCGTTCATCAAATTTAGTGCGATGTCTATGTGTACTATTTCGTATATGTATATCATATTTTTTCTTAGTGTTATATCATGACACATAAAAATTATCCTTTGCCTCTCTTTTCAACTTCGGATATAATATATAAGCCACAATAGAGTATCTTCTTGAATAAAAAATCTGTGAAACAATAGAAGAAATTTATAATATTTAAAATATTTAAATATTAAGATCTAAATTCATAGTTACTTCTTATTCAAGCTGTCTAGAATTTTAAGATGTCATGAACCAATCATAGATCTGTTTTATTAAGACATTACTTAAAACAATCTTGCAATAAAAATGGACTATGAATACCGACTTAAATGTCATAAATTAAGAGATATACTACTAATTCTCGCTAAGATGTATTCAAAATCGAAATTGATATCTAACTATTTTGAAAGAACACTATTTAATATTCTACATTAAAGAATTATAGTTATTTTTTATTAAATAATTTATGAAATTATGATTTGGGGAGAAATACTACTTCATGTGTTATTTTACTTATTTTTTTATTATCTTATTATTTATTGTAAAACAATACAATTACCATGTATCAAAGACAGCTAATTTGTCGTCATACGAAGATATACAGAATCCTAGCAACAGTGATATATAACAGTGACAAGGACACCATCAATTCAGATGCTCCGCAGCCGTAAGTCTCGTGCTCCAGAGGATGTTCCGTGAAGCAATTCTTCAACCTGCGCCTTTTCAGAGTGTTCAATGGGATCTTATGACAGGGTTTGTCACCCGTGCTATTTGTGTACTCGAGGGGTGAGATGCTGACAGGTGTTACTTCCAATCTTTTGTAGCACGTTGGGTACATGCTGTCCACCACAACTAGCAATAGATTAGTATGTGCAACCTGTAAATTATTACAGACGATTTTTTTTTAATTATTTGATTGCAGTATTATATTGCACACGTATAATTTATGCGATATAATTTTTTAAAATAAAATTGTCAATTAATTTAACGGCATGAATATGTTAATAATGTCTCATCATTTTATAAACTGAAAATAAAAAACATAGGAAACTATAAAAGAGCACATCATCAATCATGTAAAAAGTATATTAAAAATATTATCAATAAGTTAAGAGATAATTTCTCATAAATCTGTTTTAATTTTATTCTAATATTAAAAATTTTGATTCATTAATTAATTCATTAATTCATAATCATAGTTTTACACATTCTAAGTCTCTATATTCATTTAAAACTGTTTAAAACCGTACTTATACAAATTAAAATAGCAAGTAATTGCAAAATCTCAAGTAAAATAAGAAATATTTACTCTTTGAGCATAAAAAGGTCGTGAGCAGTAATCGGAGTGATTGGTGACGCCTTTAGCAGCGACAGTCTCGTTCAACATATAGAGTGTTCGCTTTTGATCGCAGGGATAGTGATAAAGGTAGAGTTTCGGTGGCGGCGGCGGATCTGGTGCATCCTCATCGAAGTGAACTTTGCCATGAATACCGGGCAAGTTTACAAACTGGGTCGTGTACCATATCAACCGCAGCAGAAACCAGAGCAACAATCTCGCAATATGTTGTAACGGTTCCATTAAGCTGTTGGCAGAGTTATCGATTCGCTGGAACAATTTGCACCTCCATAAAATAAAATACCCTCTTTCTTTTAAAAAATAAGAAAGAATAATAATAGAAAAACAAATAATAGAATCTCATTTTTAATAGAAAAGCTTTGGGCGAACAATTTATTCTTCACGCTATTTTTTATTCTCTTACCAAATGCAAATTCTTTATCATTTTTACAATTATTATAATAAAAGTTCTGTGAAATAGATTTAAATATGACCTTTTTTAATATAATTAATATTTTTTATACTTTTGTTATTATTAAATTATTTCTTGACATATATTACTTACAGTCTCCTGACACCATGCTTGATAATCATAAATGTCAACTGGATTGTAAAGACCCTGTTTGACCATGGATAACATAACGGCACCCTCCTGAGTGCCCATAAATTGCCCGGTATCATTATGTGCGTCTGAGATCACTACATAGCCGTTTTGATCTAATAGATAGCAGTCAATCCAATTGTGGGCGCAATTCATTATCGGATTTGTCGTCTGATTGTTTGAGGTCAATGCAATGAACCGTTTATACAGATCTTTCATTGGCATTTGAAAACCCACTACAGCAGCTGGCGCTTTCTTGCCGCCATCTTTAGGCGACAAGGTCATCGAAGCAGTGACTATCGAGTCCGCGCCTGCTTCCCATGGAACTACAATAATATTTTGTTTTTTCATATGTTACACTACTAGTCATTTTAAATATAAAACATATATATATATAATAAATAATTATATAAATGTTGTTTTTTTTTAAATCAATCAGAGAATGATTAAGAAAAGACGATTTAAAAAATATACAAACACACATATATACAACATTAATTATAAACAAATTCTATGTTCATCCACAATAATATGATCACAAAATATGATTCTTACCAGATAAAGAAATACTTTCGGAATCTAGTTCACTTTGAAAGATCGCACCTTTGTACCAAGGCTCATTCACTGCTCGTCTATGAAGATCACCGAAAACAATGCCGTCGTCCGCATTTGGTAGTTTGCTGGCCTTAAGATGATGCCACCTGGTGAGCCCGCTTTGCGTCGCGATAAATCTTACAAAGATACCGTAGTGATGTGCGAGATCTCGAGCCCTTGGAGGCAAATTCTCTATATAATCACCGCGAAAGCTATTGTTCGTCGCCTTGGCATCAAATACAAGCAACTGCATAAGTTCTTTGTTGCAATAGTAGTCATCGTGTTTGAGCGTTTGTCTGCCACAGTTGGGTTCTTCAACATCTTCATCTATAGATGAATAAGCCTCATATTGCTCAGACCAGTACCAATCAGACCGGCTCATCAGCGCCAAGAAATGACGCAATTCATCTTCCGGATTGTTGAACTCATGACCTTCCAAGTAATGGTAACGACAATATACCCAACTAGGATGTACTCGCCAATGGTCGCCGATAAAATAATCCGACACATTCACATTCATATTTTGGTTTCTACGAATCTCATCGCCGACCTTAAAAAATTAGACATACAATTATTTAAACATATATTTAATACTACGAGCGTGTATAATTGTTACTTAATACAATTTATGCTATATGTAATTATTTATCAATTAGTATAATTAATTGTGCATAGAGAATTTTAAATACGATTGTTTAAAGACAGTGAAATTACTCTGGTGCTGCTTCTACCTTAATCCAAGTAGTTCCATAATTGGGTAAAACAACCGCAAGACTAAATGGAGTGCCAGGTAGGGGTGCATAAAAATAATCACGTTTCTCGAGGTTGACTCGACGATTGTCATCATAATGTAATTTCACGGGAATCCCCATCATGTTACCTCGTTTGTGATCCACCAGCGCTGATCTCAGCTCCAATATTTCGGGACCCGGATTTCTATGTTCATTTTTAATTAATGAATACTATAAATAGAAAATAATAACAAAAAAACGCGCATAACAATTAAAATATAAAATGTTTCATTTTTTTAAATAATTAATTCAATATTTTGTATTTATCTACAATTTATAATACTAAATGATGAAAACGTCGTTATATATGTTACCTCGGTTCGCGTCCGTCGTCAAGTATTTCTACCTCCGTGAGATCGATGCTGTTATAGTTCAATTTAAGTCGGCCTTTGTAAACTGGTCGGAGGTCTGGATGCAATATCACATAGCCATTGTTGGATACAATAAAGGCGTAGCCATTCACGCCAAGTTTGTACGGCAACGTAAGCTTGCGGATATTGTCAATCGGCACATCTGTGCCGGCCACGCCGAACAGTGTGTCATTCGCCGCATCAGTCATGTTGTTGCGATTGCTCTTACGATCAAACACAGGTGTGCTCACGGAAGTCAACAGCCTATATTCTTGCCAGGCTGTGGTGTTCAGAGTGGATGAATCTTCCTCGATGTTCTCGTCTTTGTGCAGCTGCACAGAGCAATTACGAAATTGGAAAGTTTTCAATAGCAATATATTATTCCTTTTACAATTCTCTTTCGTTAAGAGAAGTAAATATGTCGATAGGTTGGAACAAAAGCAAAGGGCTATCTAGTTCACACTCGGTTACTCCAATACCGAGGTATATAGAGCGTGTCTCGGAACCAAGGGTGCAACCGAAATCCCACGAGAACTGATTACAGAAACATATTTTTCATCGCGTATAATATTCTTGAATTAGAATCTGATTTAAGAATCTCATCGTCTAGTAATACTTTTTAAGATTCGAGGTCTTTGGTTGTTCGCTTAATCCCGAACATTTTATACAGCAGCTAACACTGGGAAATAACTAAAAAAGAAATGAATAAAAATAAACTTGATGAAGCCTCTCTCTCTCTCTCTCTATTTAACAGGGTACTAAACCTAGTTTAAAGTATTCAATATGCCAATGATAACTAATCGACCAAAGACCACTCACTGCATCGATTAGCCATATCTCAATGCCTAGCGATTAATTATTTGTAGATGTTCATCCCGTTCTCCGAATTGACATTTCAACTACGTTAACTAATTCTTTTAGGTATTAAGTCTTTGACTTTAAGATTAAGCGAAATATACAAGAAATTCTCAAATCTGATTTTAAAATCAGAGAGAAGTAATATTTAATTAAATATGCCATTTTTTATTATCTCGCTTAATCTTACATGAATTACCAAACAGAGTGATCAAAGTTGGAAATTATCCATTAATTTAAAACAAATTTTTAAATACATCTTTTCTAAAAAAAGAATTTTAGCAAAGTCGCGTAAGTTTTACTCCCGTTTGGTGTATTCGAAAGATTACAACATAGAAGCTTGTGCCAAGGGAGATGTAGCGTAATATAAATCTACACGGAAGCCTAGGAACAGAGACAGCGGGGGTGCTTTCTTGATCGTATCTAAACCTGCTGTATGTAGATTGCGTCCTCGTTTATTCGCACGCCCAGTTGTTTTCCTTTCAGATATTTTTCCAGTCGCGACTTTTGTTGCCCATGCTTCATCACCCACCACAGCCAAGCGGCAAGTGCTGGATTCTGATGGGATTTATGTATGTTCATTTTATTCTCGCTATATATATTTTCTCTTTTACAAAACATTAAAACATAGTAGAAAATATAAAAAAGACGAAATTCGTAGTGACAAACAAATTTTATGATTTAAAAAAAAAACTAATATAATAAATATTATTAAAATTCTCAATATTTTTAAAAATTTTAGATTTTTTTTATCACAAATTATAATAAAATTTTTAATTTTTTTAACGGAGCAAATGAGTGATACATGTGTTATATACAAATTATTATAAATTGTATCAGATTTATATTGCATTTAAAATGATAATAATTAATAGCAGAAATATACTCTAATTATTAGTATTTTTTTTTAATTTATAAAGCCATTAAATATACAAAGTGCACAATATATTTCTCGTAAATTTATCACCATTTGAAAAACTTTTTTGAATTGGTCACAGAATGACGGGAAAAAATTAGATGAAAATTGGATCTTTTAAAGATTTTATTTTTAACATTTCCTACCGTAATATCGGCGTAAGCGTGCGTCCATACGATAGGATGTACCACACTTTGAAGTACCAAAGGACGCGCTACGACTGGAATGTACTTGAGCACTTGTTCGCGCACTTCCTCCTGAGTCTGTACATGCTTGTAATCGCCACGATTTAGACACGATCTTACCATCCACTGAAGTTCATCCATCTTTGTCGCTTCCTTGCCTATAAGATATGTAAATACCCGCACCGGTACATGAGTACTATTTTCATTCCAGTTCCATTTTTTGAATACCTAAAATGAAAGAAAAAGAAATTACAATTACACAATAATGTTTATTCAAAGAAAAAGGTTTGTTGCCATTATTTATTTTTAAAACTATATTTTATCGATAATTATTTTCGCAAATAATCTTGAATTGTTTGAATATTATTGTTACTTCTGATATATACATTATACATCCTTATATAGAACATTTTTTAGAATAGAAAAGAGTGAAGGAACAGAGTCAATTTTATTTGACTTTAGCAGATTTTTAACAGTTTCATCACTACGCAACGTTTCAATATAAACATTAAAAGTTTATATTGAATCAAATGATAATTATGTTATATAACCTCTTTCAAATTATTCCCCAGTTTCCCTCCAGGAACACCGTCAGTAACAAGCATGATTAGCTGATTACACGGTGAGTCGGCGTCACAACCTCGTGCTTCCCGATAAGTTTTAAGTAGATTGAACGCTTTTGTAAAGGCGTCCGTGAGATTGGCGACGTTATCTGTATCAATCTTCTCCATGGATTTCTTGAATGTGTCAAGGTTCTCTGGAGTGGCTTGAATTAGCATATCCTTAAAACACGGCACGAATTCGGTCGTTTCGTTACTGTATTTCAGCAGTGTGACGAAATCGTTGTTCGACAAGGTATCCAGAATCGAGCTCACTGTCGTTTTTGCTGCCATAATATCATCGTTCCATTAAGACAATTATGGAACAACTTCAATTGTTCAAACTAACAATTCCATTATGTTACAACTTTTCAATTATAAAATTAACAGTAGCGATAAATTAATTAAAAATAATAAATATTAATTTATCAAATTGAAAAAAAATTTTTTTATTTTATCGTCTTATCTAAAAATCTAAAATTTTCTATGATAGAGAGAGAGAGAGAGAGAGAGAGAGAGAGAGAGAGAGAGAGAGAGAGAGAG